GGGCCGTATTATCTTATTAAATTATAGTAAACAACACCAGAATTGTTCGGTCATTTATAAGGTTTGAGTGAACGAAAAAATAATTGCTATATAAAAAAGTGTTAAGAAAGTTGTGGAATGAGTTGACAATTTTTTAAGTTCCTTATTGCTTTTATTTGAATAAATCAAACTAAAAACAAAAGTAAAACATAATTTTTTACTTTTTAGCTTTCATTTAGAATTTTTCTTAGCGTATTTCGTTTTCTTTTTCTCCCAATGATTTTGATTTTCTAAAAGATGGAAAAATATGTTTTATTTTTGTTCCTTTCTTACCCACGCAATTTCCTAATATATACCTGTATTTCACTTTTTTTCCATTTTAACGTTCATAGAGTGTTTATATAAGATGCTAAATGGAAAAGCCTTTTGTTTTCGGATCTATTTTTTGTTTTTACTTCTTTTAAAACATTTATTATTCTAACTTTTGGTGTTTTCTTTTTAGAAAAGGTAAAACATTTATTTTACAGTTATAAATTATTCAACGTGTTAGTGAAGCGAAAAAAATTTGGGAGCAAAAAAAAGATTTTTTTTTTTTTTGTATACTGTTTTGGTACATTTTTGTTCATACATCCTAGGAAGTGATATGGGAGGATAATGTTAAAGAATTTAGAAAATTGATTGTTTACAATAATGACGTAAATTATAGTAGCACAAAATAACAAAATAGTAAATCTTACCATTTCTTATTTAACTTTTTAAATAAGTGAGAAGAAATAATTGTGACAGATGCTCAACCGCTATATGAATGTGATAGCTTATTAGCTCAACAATACTTAGAAGAGGCGTCGAGAAATGTAAAGAGAGGAACTGACTTTGAAATTTACTGGATTTGTGCAGCACCCTGATTATTTCCCTGTTTTAATTGAATTTAAAACATATTAGTAAATTAATAAAATTGAGGTGTCTAGGTTGCACCTTGTCTATGTCTAGGCTTCCCGAGGGGTACACATAGGCCACCACGACCCGTTGTGGTGTCTATATAAATGCAAATTTAACGTCAACTATAGTTTTAATCAGCAACACGATTTTAGGTGCTAAGTAGAAATAGTTTAAAAAATTAATGTTAAACGAAAATTTTTTTATAACCTAATGAAAATACCAGTGTTTAAAGTAAATAATTTTTTTTTTGGATGTTATTCTTGAAATAAGCATTGGGAATTATACGGATTTATTAAAGAAGGCCCCGCTACGTAACCTGAATCCTTAAACATATGGGATTTTCATTTTATATAGTTTTCAATGTTCCGAAAACTTATTTTCGCTGCAGTGGGGTTTCCATAACTTTTACTTTAATATCCGCTCAATTTTGAATTTCGAAAATACAACATACTGGCTATGACCGAACACCATGGAAATAAACAACTTTGAACCTAGCCTTGTTATCGTTATAGCATTACAATTTTCATACCCAAATGCACGTATGTTCGAAGGGGACAAAGAATGGACCACTAAATTTGTAACGTTTAGAAATAAGGGTAATGTGTATGAAGAATTATGTAATTTTTATCAGTATCGAATATTGATCATATTTGTTCTAAAATAGAAACTAAATTTACCAAATTTTCACAAATGATTTATAATATTTAAATGTCAGAGCCCTATTTGAATTGGATATGATCGGAACATAGTGGTTCGGGTAGCTGCCATAATATAGCCAATTCTACACCTTTTCTCATTTTTCAGAGAATTTTTCGGCGAAGTTTTATGAATGTTACACCGACATAAAAAGATAAAGTAAAAAATTATCATAAAAATTGAGATCATTATATTGAATTCTGAAATCGATCATTGATTGTATTACCTTGTTTATTACGAAACGGGATGTGGTTCTAACATAATTATATTAAGCTCTAACTAGCAAACATTGAATTTATTAACACTTAGTATAACATGGAAAATTTTTCATTTTATATTTTAAAGCCTTGAAAATTATTTCAATAGTTTTGTTGAATTATTAAAAATGCTTTTTATATTTTAATTCATTTCTTATTATTAATTACTAATTAGATGTTTATCATACAAAGTCTTATTATGTACTGTTCTTATAATCTATACAGAGGTACCTGTTTATGCTATGTATATATATATAAGTACATAGGTAATTATAATGTTTATGATCTGTAGTACAGGAGCGTGTATGATAAATGGAAATCATCATAACATGTTCCCCTTTCAAATAATTGATTTATTTATTTTTTTTTTAATATTTTACGAAAGTATTTTACAATATCTGTATAAGCATTTAATTATGCAAATATAAAATCAAATTATTAATTCATTTTTAATTACATAAATATGCATAACCTTGTTTTTATTTTTATTTCTATTAACATTAGTATTTGTATTTTTATTTTGAATGTCACCTCAAAGTCTGTTATTTTATTATTGTTTTTAAACTTTTTAAACTTTATTTTCTTATTGTTTTCAATATTGAAGTTTAAAATCTTATCGGTTCTTTAATAGTACGTCCATATCGCGTAATGTATTTACCTTCTTCCCTTTCAGGAGAAGAAAATACCTCTTCATTATTTTTATCATTATCAAAGTTCTTTGGAATATCACTACAAGGTGTTTCTAACAGATGTTCCCTATTTCTTCTATATGTATTGCCCTCATTATCTTTAACTATATATGAACGAGGTTCGTTACATTGTTCAATAACCCTTCCAGGATACCAAACAGATGTTGGATGTTTTTTATAAAAAATGTTTTGTCCTGACTTCAAATTACTCAACGATTTTACATTACGATCGTAATAATATTTCATTTTTCTTTGTTTGTTGTTTATCAAATCTTCACAAATCTTAGCGTCAATCGTATTAGGCTTCAGGGCATCCCGAAGAGTTGGCAACTTTGTTCGTAGTTTTCTTGACATTAGAAGTTCCGCTGGGGAAGGACATCCATTTTTTGTGGTAGTGCGGTATTGTAATAATGCGATATAAGGATCAGTTTTACTGTCATTACTTTTTTGTAAAAGTGTTTTAATTGTTCCAATTGATCTTTCCGCTAGGCCGTTAGATTGAGGATAGTAAGGACTCGAAGTATTATGGTCTATATCCCAAGAAATTGAAAATTCTTTGAATTCTTTTGAATTGAAAGGCGGGCCATTATCTGATATCATAACTTTTGGAATGCCATGTCTGGCGAAAATAGATTTAAGATGGTGAATAATTCTTTTGGCTGTAAAGCCCGTATTTAGTAAAGCAATTTCAATATATGTAGAAAAATAATCTACAACTAATAGGTACTTTTGTTTATTATAATCGAAAATATCAATTCCAACCTTATACCACGGAATAGCTTCTATTTTATGTGGTATTATTGGTTGCCTTTGATTTGACTTTCTGTATCGTATACAAATTTCACAATTAGACACAACGTTTTGAATATCATTGTTCATGCTCGGCCAAAAAACACTATTCCTAGCTAAATTTTTGCACCTTGCAATGCCTAAATGACCTTCATGAACACGTGACAAAATATCCTTTCTCAGGCTTGTAGGAATCACAAGACTGTTGCATTTAAATATTAAATTATCAACTATTGTTAATTCATCTTTAAATTTAAAATATGGGCGAATTTCATATGGCAAATTCCTGATTTTATCTGGCCAGCCCCGAAAAATATATGTTTTTATTTTTGATAAGACAGAATCATTTTTTGTTGCTTCTCGAATTTGGCAAAGTTTTGACTCACTGACCGACAATGATGCAATTAATAAATTGCAACACAAATTGGTTTCTTCTTCAATTTGTTCATCAACAAAAGTTGATAATGCTGCACGTGAAAGTGTATCGGCTATGAACATTTTTTTTCCGGGCTTATATGTTACCTCTAAATCATAAGCAGCTAATTTTAACATAATTCGTTGTAAAATTGCCGGAACCTTATAAAAAGGTTTTGAAAAAATAGGTACCAAAGGTTTATGATCGGTCTCAACTTTAACCGAATGACCATAAACAAATTGGTGAAATTTGACACACCCAAATAGAATAGCAAAAAGTTCTTTTTGAATTTGTGCATAACGTTGTTGGGTTTCTGTAAGACTTGCAGAAGCATATGCAATTGGTCTACCATTTTGTAGTAAAACTGCACCGACTGCATCCTTAGATGCATCTGTACTAAGAACAATTGGTTGATTTGAATCATAATATGAAAGAGTTGGTGCATTTGTTAAAATATTTTTTAAATTATTAAATTCTTTTTCGTGAACCTCAGACCAATTCCAAACTGTTTGCTTTTTTAGTAGAGATCTTAAATTACTTGTAACAGAAGATAAATTTTCAATAAACGACCCCAAGTATGTTACCATACCAAGAAATCGTTGCAAATCTGCCAAATTTTTTGGTCTACACATTTTGCAAATAGCTTCTATTTTCGAGGGGTCTGGTCTCATTCCTTTGCCATTAAAAATATGTCCCATATATGTAATTTCTTGAACACCAAATTTTGACTTTGATTTATTAAATTTTAACCCTACTTGCCTTGCTCTGTTTAACACTTTTATTAATGTCACATTATGTTCATTTTCATTTGACCCATATATCAAAAAATCATCTATGTAAATTATTAAATTAGGTATATCCCCAAAAAGATTAATCATTGTAGCATGAAAAATTTCAGGAGCTACTTTAACTCCGAATGGTAGACGCAAAAAACGAAATTTACCCATAGGCGTTATGAATGTACACAGTTTAGACGAATAATCATCTAATGGAATTGCCCAAAAGCCCGATGTTGCATCCAGACTTGTGAAAATTCGAGCATTATTTAATTTAGAAATAATATCGTCAATTTTTGGAAATTGGTAAAAAGAACGCACTAGCACATTATTTAAATTACGAGGGTCTAAACAGATTCGAATATCTCCTGAACGTTTTTTTACTGTAACAATAGGACTTACCCATTCGGTAGGTTCATCTGTCTTTTTGATTATGTTTAAGTCTTCAAGTCTTTTTAATTCATATATAGTTAAAGATAATGACAGTTCTAGGGACAGTTCTAGGTGCGACAACAACAGGCTGAGCATCCTGTTTGACTTTGAAGTGACACTTTGTTTGTAAACATCCTATACCTTCAAATAAATCTTTATAATTTTTTAAAAAGTTACATTTTTCGTTTGGAATTGTTAAATTATTTATATCTATTGGTTGTGTGACTATCCTTTTAATTAAATTCATTTCAATACAAGTTGCTAAACCTAAAATTGTTTGACATTCTATATTCATGATATAAAATAATATTAAGTATTCTTTGTTATTGTACACACATTTAATTTCATATGTGCCTATTATTGGCAAGGATTGTTTACCAAAAGTACAAATTTTTTTATTTGTTTGTTTTATTTTTTTGTGATTTAGATTTAATTTTTCAAAGTTAGAAAGACTAATAATATTTGCTTGCGCACCTGAATCTAATAAGCAATTTATTTCAATATTTTTGACACAAATTTTTACATACCAATTACAAGTACTATTACTATTTGAACCATTAGAAGTTGATTGTATACCACCTAAAAATAACGACTGGATCTCATTAGAAGACTGCGGTTGTAATGTTCTTATTTGACTTGACTTGCACATCGAAGCAAAATGATTTTTTTTTTTGCATTTATGGCATACCATACCTATAGCTGGACATCGAAATCGGTGAAGTTGACCACACTTCGAACAAATATTTTCCTGTTTACCTTTAATTTGTTTGGTTGACTGACTAAAAAAATTGTTGACTGGTTTTTTATTGTATGACTTATTGGTTTGAGTAGAATTTTTAAATTTCATATTTTGTACTGCACCCACAACAAGAGAGTCTGATGAATTGCTTTGAATTTGCCTTGAGTGAACTCTAGTTAGTACGGCGCTTTTAGCAATTTCTACGGCTTTGTCTAAACTAATATTTCCTTCGCTTAATAATTTTTCCTTTATTTGAATATTTTGTTGACTAAGGCCACATACAAATATATCTCGAACTAAACTTTCACGTAAGGTGCCAAATTCACAGTTAAGACTTAAATTTTTTAATCCCGTAATATAATCCTCAATAGATTCCGTTGGTTTTTGCGCACATGTGAAGAATTTGTGCCTTTCAATAGCTAGATTTATTTTTGGAAGAAAATATTTTTCAAATTTTTTAATTAGATCTTCATATTTAATTTTGTCTACATCTTCATTAAACGAACTAAATATTTTAAGAGCGCCGTGACCCATACAGTGCAGTAAAATTGCGACCTTTTTTTCATTAGAATAACTTTCTACCCCAGTTGCTCGACAATAAATTTTAAATTGGGTGTACCAATCTTTCCATGCCATTGGTAAATTTGTCGACTCGAAATTTAGAGGTGGCATCATGAACTGTGGCGAAGAAGTATATGATGGAGACGGGACAGACATTATTTCACTTTCGGATTCTGATTTTTTCATTATTTAATATATTTATATATTTTTTTTTTTTATTTTTAAAAATTTTTTTTTTAATGCAAAATTAGTAAGTATTTTGATGTATATTAACTACTCGTATTAAATTTTTATTCAATATTTGTCTTCTGCTAAGTTATATTTTTTTTTTTGATTTAATATAAACACGTGCTTTAGCTTTAAAATTTTTCTAAGCGTGTCTAAAAAGGTTTTTATACTTTTAGTAATTTTAGAATTATAAATTTTAATTTTTTTTTTTATTATTTTTTTTTTTTTAATTAGACCATAATTCCAAAATTTGACTTTAGTTTAAAAAAAAAATTTTTTTTTTTTTTTTATTTCGATATTATTATTCTTCGCTTTACTTCTGACACCATGTTGAATTATTAAAAATGCTTTTTATATTTTAATTCATTTCTTATTATTAATTACTAATTAGATGTTTATCATACAAAGTCTTATTATGTACTGTTCTTATAATCTATACAGAGGTACCTGTTTATGCTATGTATATATATATAAGTACATAGGTAATTATAATGTTTATGATCTGTAGTACAGGAGCGTGTATGATAAATGGAAATCATCATAACAAGTTTATGTATAAAATTTCCAAAGTTAAATTTTAGTCATGTTCAGTTAAATGTTGTATCATGCGCATTAACTTAAAATTACGTTTATAGTAAAGTACAAATTTTTCTTATTATAACCTTAATCCTTATTTTCTATATAAAAAAGTGTGAAATTGTTTTGAAAAGTAAGAAATGGCCAAATATATAATTGAAAAACTTTTATACCAACTTTTCAAAATTCTTCTTTTTCCTTTCTATTTATTTTTAAATTTAAATAAAATATAAAGTCAAACATATAAGATTACACTATTCGTTATGAAAAGCAAATTTGTCATTGAATTAACTTCAATTTCACATGCTGCAACTTCTCTGATTTTCCATGTTATACACGTTTTTTTCATAATTGATATAATGAACGGTGTAAAATTTCTTTTATTTTCTCGTTCAAACAAGGAACGATAGTTAGCGGGTAAAAAAAAAATGTTTGCTTGAATAGTTAGATTTTACATATAAAAATGGGAATTACAAATAACGACCATCTATTCTTGTTTTCTCATTTAAATGCTAACTATTGTGACCAGTACTCAATACCAAGTCCTGTCTTTCCATATTGAATTCGAGTATTTTGCGCAAAATTTGTGTTAGTCTCTTTGCTTCTACAAAAATGTAAATGATGAAAGATTTTATTCTTATGTTGGCCAGGCTTCCATATTTTCCTTGAAAATTAGATTTTAGTGTTCATGCATACAATTTGTTCTTTCTTAATTCATAATTGCGCTTCGTCTTTCTCCATTTACTTTCGGAGTATAATTTAAATTAAACACTACCGCAAGTACAATTATTAAGCTAAATGTTGAGAAACTGTTCATAGATTTACACACTGAATTTCAGAAAAATTCGGGAGAGGCTGTTGTTACATTTCTACAGAGACATCTTTATTCGAATTTTGATTCTATTTGCTTACCTTGTTAATTATTTTACACATTGTAAAAATAATTGAAGAAAATTTTTAACTAATCGGGAAAATTTTCGTAATGCAATTGTAAAATTTTTCTTTTAAACAAATTTATTTTTTCTTTAAAACAAAAAAAAAATAAAGTAAATCATGGCAAATTAAAGGTTCTTCAAGAAGAAAACAACAAGAATGAAAAAAGTTTTTCTCGTAAATTATTCTTCAATTTTGTAAAAACCAGTAAAAATTAATGAGTGTTAAAAGAGTTTTTTTTTCTTATTCCAATTTCACTTAGAGAAAGTTAATGTTTTGTTTATTGTAAAAGTTCAGTCTTCCTTTTATTTTAGCCCCTTCCTTTAAATTGAAAAAAAGGAGAGTCTTTAATAAAAATGTATAAAAATTAACTTTTGCTTACAGAATCTGTTTTTTTTTTTTTCAAATGTAAAAATTTTGGGTAGGAGGGTGGTGGTAAGATGGGTTTTAGAAAGTCAAGGGGCCCAATAAATATTTCAAAAAGCAGAAAATAAATGAAAACATTTTAAACTTTCTGACGTAAAATCTTTGTTAAAAGAGAAAGTATCAACTTTCTTATAATTTAATAATGAAAGGAATGTCCTTTTTCGAGTTTGAAAACAAAAATAATTTGATAAGTAATTGAAATTACTGCTAATTGATTCCAAAGTTTAAAAATTTTCAAAAGTACTTTTTGTTTTCGTTGTTTTTTTTAAATTATAAACAAAATGAGAAATTGTTTTTTTTTTTATTTATTTTTTCCTTTATTAAATAAACGAAAATTTTCGTAACATAATGATGTAACAGAAAGTTTAAAATTTTAAATGAGGGATTAATTGAAGTAAATGGTAAAAATGTAATTTTGAGACTCTCAATTTTTGATTCTCAATAACAATTTCAGAAGAAGTTTAATAAGGATTAAGATCGTTCTTCTTAAGATAGAATTGAATTTTGTAATCACTGTAAGATTTAAAATTAGATTAGAATTAAAGTCGAAGAGTAGAGTGAGAATTTGTAATTGTGTTGCTTTTAATTTCCATTATTAATAATTACAGTTCTTGTTCACAAATGGAGTACTGACTTGGAAATGGACAAATCAATGACCTTATATTCTCTCATCATTTTATGGTGCGGTAAAAATAAAAACATTATATTTTGGCATCTTTCCATGTCTTTTTAATAATCTATAGTGCTGTTTAAAAACGTTATATAAATTCCAGAGAGAGTAATTCAATTTTGAACACAACTAGAGAATTATTTGCTCCAAAATGAAAGGATTATTTTCCTAGAGCAGGCTTCTTATATTCATAACAGGAATTTTAGCTTCTCAATATTTTTAAGGCTGTTAAATCCTTTCTTCGAATTAATTGTTACCTGAAACGTAAGTTTTGCCAATTTGTAACACGGTTTTTCGGTGATTTTGCAAGTAATTTTTCTGCTAGGGTACGACCTGCACGAGTATCAAATTAGAAAAGTTTATAAGAGATGCCTCACCAATTATAATATATGAATAACACTATTTATCGTGCGTCAACCGCAGCCGGAATGTTCTGCCCACAGATGAAACGGCAAGAAACACATGGCCAAATACGATCTTAAGAAATCGAATGTTGTTCTGGCGATGTCCCGGAGAGGTACTTCTTGTCTGACGGCAGTCTATATGGGGCACAGGCTGTTGGAGGATAATGCAGCTAAGTTAGAGGATAATGCAGCCATTTCAACACAACGTGTCGGAGCTTTCGGGAAATGGACAAGAAAAATACCATTTTTCATAATCTCTGCAAGTGTCCGGCTTTAGACGGAGCAAGGCCGGTCACGTGAAGCAGAGCAAGTGTGACGGGACTGCACGAGATATCGAAGGTTACCATCGGTGATTTAGATAGATTCTTCGAAAGAACCGGGAGTCATGGTAACCACTGGGTAGAGGAAGCAAAGTAACACATTTGTATTGATTGGGGTGCTGAGGACTTATTGCTTCAGTCACATCAACCAACCAGTGCCTCAACAAACAGTTGTTAGCTTTCAAATTTTTTAATATCTGATTTTTCGATTCCTTATTTCTTCGACACTACACAAACTTTATCAATTTTCTATATAAGAAAATATATTACAGTAAATATTCTTTTCCTCGATATTATTGTGATGTAAGCACAGGCTATAAGTGTTATTACCTTTAAATTTTGTCTAAATTTATGCAATATTATATGAAAATCGGACAATTTTTTTAAAAAACTCCATTTTCTTATTAAAATCAGAGCTATAATTACACAAGCTCTAGATTTAAATTTTTAAAGGAAATGTTCTATATTAGAAGGCATTAGATTAGAAGGTTTAATTTATTCTATATTAGAATATTAGAAGGATGGACATACTACATTTTCTTTAAGTATTTGATTGGTTCCTTTAAATGTTTGGAAATAATTTTTTAAAAAATTTCTACTAAAACAAAATTATATGATCGTTGATATTGGCGTCAAAGATTCGTTTAGTGTTTACTTTTTGTTATACATTTATTATGCATACACGTGGTTTGGATATACTTAAAATCAACAAAAATATTTGAACAATTTTCAATTTGTTATGACAGTCAGAAAATTATATTTTACCAAAAAATAAAGTTGGGTCAAACCAATGGTTTGTATTGTAGCACTTTTCCCTTCAAAAAGTGAAAATTCTGCTTTTAAATACAATCTATGTGTACCTACCACACTATTAAAATTATTTTCATTCATATATAAAACTATTTCTATAATTGCCTATATTTAGGATGACGCATATATGCAGTCTTTGAAATAAAGCAAAAATTAATATAAAAAGGGGTTAACATAATGCTCTATTTTAAGGTTTAATTGTGTGAGTTAAGAAAAATAAGCTTTTTGCGTTTATAAAAATTTGAAAAAATTTGCGGTTTCGGAAATATAAGGTGTCAAAAATTCAAATTTTACGAATTTCAAGAGGCGATAACTTGAGAGGGGTTGGAGATGGAAAAAAATTTTCTTCTAACGAAATAAACTATTTATTAAGGTCTAAAGGCTCCTAAAATTTCAATCTTCTACAGACTAGGATCTAGAAGAAAAACGAGATCAAAAATTTGGAAAAAAAGGACTTTAGATAACGGTAAATTTGAACGGCCATTTTGTTTTTCTAAAGTTTAACTATAGTATACCGCGCTAGAGGAAGGAACCAACTGCCTTTCTGCGTTTGAAAAATTTCAAAAATGCTTATGGTTTCATTGTAACAAATATTTAAGAAAGGCCATTTTTAGGGTTTTGGGGGGGTATAACTTCTAGAGGGGGGGAGATAGGTAAAAATTTTGTTCTACGGAAATAAGTTTCTATCGAAGATCTATGTACATATGAAATTTCAGCTTTCTATCTTCAAGGGTGTAGAAGTTTTGTAAACAAAAAAAGTGTCCACGGACGGACGGACGGACGGACGGACGGACAGAGTGAAACTAATAAGCACTTTTT